ATGAACCTCATTGGTTCTTGCTGAAGCTCAAACGTGATGCGTAACACGAGAATGAACCTCATTGGTTCTTGCTGAAGATCAAACGTGATGCGTTACACGAGAATGAACCTCATTGGTTCTTGCTGAAGATCAAACCTGATGCGTAACACGAGAATGAACCTCATTGGTTCTTGCTGAAGATCAAACGTGATGCGTTACACGAGAATGAACCTCATTGGTTCTTGCTGAAGATCAAACGTGATGCGTTACACGAGAATGAACCTCATTGGTTCTTGCTGAAGCTCAAACATGATGCGTTACACGAGAATGAACCTCATTGGTTCTTGCTGAAGCTCAAACGTGATGCGTAACACGAGAATGAACCTCATTGGTTCTTGCTGAAGCTCAAACATGATGCGTTACACGAGAATGAACCTCATTGGTTCTTGCTGAAGCTCAAACGTGATGCGTAACACGAGAATGAACCTCATTGGTTCTTGCTTAAGCTCAAACGTGATGCGTTACACGAGAATGAACCTCATTGGTTCTTGCTGAAGCTCAAACGTGATGCGTAACACGAGAATGAACCTCATTGGTTCTTGCTGAAGCTCAAACGTGATGCGTAACACGAGAATGAACCTCATTGGTTCTTGCTGAAGCTCAAACGTGATGCGTAACACGAGAATGAACCTCATTGGTTCTTGCTGAAGATCAAACGTGATGCGTTACACAAGAATGAACCTCATTGGTTCTTGCTGAAGATCAAACGTGATGCGTTACACGAGAATGAACCTCATTGGTTCTTGCTTAAGCTCAAACATGATGCGTTACACGAGAATGAACCTCATTGGTTCTTGCTGAAGCTCAAACGTGATGCGTAACACGAGAATGAACCTCATTGGTTCTTGCTGAAGCTCAAACATGATGCGTTACACGAGAATGAACCTCATTGGTTCTTGCTGAAGCTCAAACGTGATGCGTAACACGAGAATGAACCTCATTGGTTCTTGCTTAAGCTCAAACGTGATGCGTTACACGAGAATGAACCTCATTGGTTCTTGCTGAAGCTCAAACGTGATGCGTAACACGAGAATGAACCTCATTGGTTCTTGCTGAAGCTCAAACGTGATGCGTAACACGAGAATGAACCTCATTGGTTCTTGCTGAAGCTCAAACGTGATGCGTAACACGAGAATGAACCTCATTGGTTCTTGCTGAAGATCAAACGTGATGCGTTACACAAGAATGAACCTCATTGGTTCTTGCATGTCAAGCGAACATGCTTGAGCTTCAAAGAGTACAGTGATATATTTTTGAACTAAATTTCAAATTTTTCTTTTTTTGGGGGGGGGGGTGTCATGGACACTATACTATTTCATGCCATTCTTATTTTGCATAATTCCTGTTCTTCCATTTCATTTTTTTCTTTTTTTAAGTTGTAGGCTGTGTGCCTAGTCCATATACATATCCATTAAGTGAGAAGCTACAACTCCGAACATTTACCACTGACCACTTACACCATCCGAAAACAACACACACATGGGGACAGAGAGGACAAGGACACACGAGGAACCACGCGAGCACGTCACGGTGCCTCAGCCTCTGTGCTGAATAAAGCTTCTCTTTTTCCCTCTCCCGTCTCTCTGACGCGGCCCGATCCCATTATTATTTTGGGGAAGACAGCTAGTTCCCTCAGGAGTGCCCTGTTTGAGTCCATGTTTCATGCTCTGGGAGCCAGGCCAAAGAGAACAACACACACACACACACACACACACACACACACAAATAAAAAAGCCCAGTGGCATCTACGACTGGCAAACACAGCAGGAATGCAGCTGAACAGTTACAGTCATAGACTATAACACAACAAACACAGGTTTTTTAGAATATTTTGGACTTTATTAAAGATTATCAGCTCACGTTTTGAATATATGATGTCAGTTTTCTCATTTTTGATGACCAGAATGAGTGTTTTAGTCACTTTTTTGGGAGTAGCCTACTGTCTCTGTAAGTGTCGTTTGTGTTTTCTGCTCTTATTTTTGCCAACCAAGGTTGTTTTAAATGTGCTTTATGAATTAATTTAATTGTGTTATTTGTCATGAATGTGTTAACATGTTTCTCAAAACATTCCTTGAGAAATAAATATAGAATCAGATTACACATTGTTGACATACAGTAATATTATGGCACTATGAAGGTAATTTGTAGTTAAAAAGTAGCCTAATAGTCGAGATTGTTTGGTCTCTACAAAAATAAAAGTTTGACTTCATATTTTAATTTCTGCAGTTAGAGTTCATATTGTGACATTCAGTGCTGTTTTGGACCCCATTGAGACAAATTATTAACTCATCTTATACATTTTCATACAGTTGATAGTGATGAACATGAAGCAGGGCAACAACACACTGCGTGATGGAATGAAATAGAATGAAAATTCAAGATATCGCAGCAAAAATGCCCCTGTGTAACTTTTTGTCTCATATTTATATCATATGAAAGCAAACAGCACACGCGTAATGAGCGCAATATCACACCAGTAGGCTACTGTTTTCCCCCAATAGCATGGGTGCAAATATGACACTGATTTTATACTACAACAGTTAAATGAAAAAGAAGTTAAAACTTATATATTTTAGACACAATTTTGTGTTTTGTTTTTTACAGACATAGCCATAGCAGAACGACTGATTCTCTGAGCAACGCAGCAGTGTTTCTAACAGAATGAATCGGGGAACCAATGATTCAATGGTCCATTCATAAAGAGAGCCGTTTACTTCATTCCTGAATGAATCAGCCATTTGAACGAATATAATAAAATGAAAGACCCAATGACTTACTTGTTTAGACAATTAGTTAGTTTTAGATTTTTATTTAGAGCATCATTTCATAGAAAAAAAAAATCATATTTTCATATTAATAAAAATCCTATCAAAGTTAATTTTCAGCCAAAAATTCTGTCATCATTTACTCACGCTTATTTCCGTGGAAGCCTAAAAAGTTTATGTGTGATAAATTCTATGTTGAATAATAATAATAAAAAAAAAAAATGTATTTGTCTTTTTGATGCTTTTCACACAATGACTTAACATTATCTTTAGGCAGTAATTTCTCAGCCAAATTTGATGTGTGATTAATTTGCCACATTGTGACTTTAGACCTGTTTTTCTCTGGTCATTGGCGCAATTGTTTTCTGGAACTGCAAAATAGCACCAGGGATTGTTTGCGCCGACACACGCCTCCTTTTTACGCCGACCCGCCCGGGGAGCGCAAGTTCATTTCCCAGTTTACCGGCGTGCGTCTGTGGAGGAAAAAAAACCCGCTTTGCGCGCGTGCAAAATAGGAATGATAAATGCGTCAGTGTATAAAGTCATTTGCGCCGGGTGCAAGATAGAGCCCAATATATATCAACGCATTCTCACCCCAAGGCGTCACCTTTGACCATGCTTCAATATTTGGCGCCCTTTAGCGTCAGTTACATGACGCGATCCTACGGTGTAATTTATCTGACGCTAAAGCGTCAGTTAGATGACGTGGGTAGGTTTAGGTCTGGGCTGGGGGAACACTCTCAGAAAAAAAGGTTCAAAAGTTGTCACTTGGGCTGTACCTTTTCAAAAGGTAAACTTTTGTCCATTTCATGAGCTAATAAGTACATTTTAGGTGTTAATATGTACATTTCAGGATATGTCAATTTCATGAGCTAATATGTACATTTTAGGTGGTAATATGTACATTTTAGGTGCTAATTTGTCAATTTCATGAGCTAATATGTCCTTTTTAGGTGGTAGTATGTCTTTTTTTAGGTGCTAATATATACATTTTAGGTGTTAATATGTCCATTTTAGGTGCTAATATGTACCACTAAGGTACCAATATGCAGCCTTTGGATATAAAAGTGTACCTTTTGAAAAGGTACAGCCCCAGTGACAGCTTTTGTACCTTTTTTTCTGAGAGTGTAGGCTTACACGCGATCCTAGGGCGTCATCTCACTGACGCTAAAGGGCAACTAAAGCGTCAGATATTGAAGCATGGTCAAAATGCTTCCCTTGGGGGTGAGAATGGGCTGATTTTATATAAACACAAAATGTTGTGTTAGATGCGATTAATCGTGATTAATCGATTTGACAGCAGTTTGAATAGAATAGAATAGAATAGAATAGAATAGAATAGAATAGAGGGGTGTGTGATTATTTGGATGGGGGGGGATGGGCATCTGCACTTGTGCAAGAGTCGGTGTTGACCTGAAGTCGGCCCTCGTCAGCATGATCTGTGCTGTTGTTGGGTCTCTCTCATTAACTGTTGGCTGGGCTGATGGTTTCCTCAGCCGCTGCACTGGGTTAAATAGCTTGAAAATGAGAGCAGGTTAAGAGCTGTTTCCTGCAAGCCTCAGCTGCGAGCACATCTGTGGGAGAAGGCTCCAAACTGCCCCCCACGTGTTTGTTCACGGACTCGACTGATTGCCTTTCCTTCCTCTCTTTTTCTCTCTCTACCACCACCGAAAAAACTTGCTGTCCTTTTACTTACTTTTCCTTTGGCTCCAGAAAGACAAGCCAGAACTGAGGGGGTTGAGGTCAGTTGAAAAGGAGGACACGGGGACAACAAATTCGATGCTTTCTGTACAGTATGACTCTGTGATTGGAACCCCGTTGTCTGGGTCAAATTGAGGCACCCCGGGGGGCTTACGTGCGCCATATAGGTCTCCTTCTTCCCCAGCCGTACTATACAGAACAAACCCAGACACACCGCAGTTCAGGCACTCAGTGTGTGCATCTGATATGGCTTACCTTAGGACTCAGCGATGCATTGGTGGAATTCCCTCTGACAGTGTTTGTGTTTGGCCTCGTGCATGTTTTGGCATTCGTGTGCATTTCTCATATTAAATGCTGGGAAATACGATGCCCAGGGATCGGAAACAGAAATGATCAATCCGGCCTGTAGCCGCAATAGTGTCTCCATTCAAGAGAAGAGCGACTGTGCCTTTCGCAGGACGTGCCTTTCGTAAGAAAGTAGTCAGGGGGAAAAGATGAAGTATTAAAACTTTATTTCCTTTATTTGTTTAATGGAAAATGATAAAAACGTACAGCTCAGCAACATTGCCTTGGCTAGGATAGGTCAGTGTTTTTTTGTTTTTTTTTTATCAATAACAATCAAATAATATTTATAATATAACAATGTGTTCTGAGGAAAGCGAAATAAGAGATAAAGGGTGAAAATAAATTATCATAATAACAATAACGATAATAACAATTAACCTTTATAAACATTTCTTTGCTTATGTCGTATCCATAGAGTCCATTCAGAGGGAATCATGCCCGGGGGAGGGGGGGGGGTGTATTCCAGCATGTTAGGAGGGATAAACTTAGTGGTCTTCTCTCTCTCTCTCTCTGACTCATCATGTTCGCAGAGATTCGGAGCGAGAGTTTCTGTAGGAACTCAAAGGAAATTCCACACAGTGATTCTGCAAAGACATATCCTCTCTTTCAGGACAGTACCAAAGTGACTCAGTAAAACGTAACGAAAGGCTAAAAGCAAAGACTGCTCTCTCTTTCTCTCTCTCTCTCTCTGTCTGCGAGAGTCTTTTTAAACCGTCCTCTATACAAGTTGACGTGGTTGTTGATGAAATGGCACCTTCCTCTGCAGTGTCCGACCAGGAACTAAACCGACACGAACCCTCTTCGCGTCCCTCGCCTGTGGAAGATTTCTTGACGGGAGGGGAGATTTCTTGAGTGCATTGAGATTTTCGGTACAGCGAGAGGGTTCTTCAGTGGGGTTCGGCCCAGACGGGAGAGCGGCTGGAATGGTGAGGGTGGCTGAAAGAGGGGTGAATGGGAGTCGGCGTGGGCAGCATGTGTCCAGAATGGCTAAACGGTCCCAGGTGGCCCATGTGTGGCATGTGGCTTGCCAGAGCGCTGTGGCTGCCAAACGGAGAGGTCTTGTCCTGCATGCACTTGGAGAGCTCCTCGAAACCCTCGCCAGATCGTTTACTCCTCTTGGACTTGCTGGACATCTTGCGGTTGCGTGTTTGGATGCCCTCTTTCTTCATGGTCAGTGGCCTATTGACCTGTAAGAAACGAGATAGGGTAGGTTAATGATGAGCACAAAGGAAGTAAAAACAAAAGGATATGAGGTCTCAAAGCACAGGTTCTTAAACACAAAAGTTACAAGTTAGTTAAATGGACGCTTTTGCGTGAGGAAACCATAGCAATAGATCGCGCGAAGATCATTAGAATCTTTATATGACGATCCAAGCGAGAATTTCGTCTGCCATTTTATTTTATTATATATATATATATATATATATATATATATATATATAAATCAGTGTTTTTATGCCATTTGCTTATCTGTAAATGTCCCCAGAAATTTCCGTTAAAATTCATTGTTTATACCTCTATATACAATATTTTGACACGAATTATAGGCTACATCAAAGCGTGGCTATAATGTAGTCAATATTATGCTTTTAGTGTTGAATTTCAAACGAAAACCAAGCAAATCAGCCGCTCAGCTGTCACGCAATCTCGTTTCTTCTCTGTCCTCCTTTGTTTCGCTTGTTTCATTAAGGTGAAATGTATTTATTCGCCTGCTAAATAGATCGCAGCCAAGCTTAACATTAAAAAGGCTAGTTTCAGACAACTCCGAATTGATAGCCTATAACTGACGCCGTATCTTGAATAGCAGACCCGCCCTGCCGTCCCTCCGGGGAATAACGCCCTCCTTTGAAACAAAGCTGGATTAATCTAAAAAGAAAACGGTCAACGGGCTCTGTCTGACAGGGAAAGCCGGCTTTGCGTCCCCGGTCTCACTCTCACCCTCTCTTCAATCGATACAAGCTGTCCGCCCACTTGAGCACTTCGCTGTCACTTTCAGTGTTTGCGACTCTCAATACTCACGTTGTGGAGTTTATAGTAGAGCCCGCAGGCGTTGCACACCGGGTCACCGTTCCCGTTGCGCCGCCACAGAGTGGTCGTGGTTGTCTGGCAGTTCGCGCAGCAGGTGCCAGCTCGCCTCGCAGCAGACTGTGTAGGCAAGAGAAACACATTCAATACTGGGTACACTACGTTAAAAACATACATGATCCATAACCACATTGTTAAACAATCTCATGAACATCTAAAAGGATGGCCATTTTAAAACGAATAGCGTAATTCCGTAAATGGATGAGTCTGGTTATTATTGCGTGCAGTACTTGTCAACCGTAAAAAAGACTAAACAGGTTAATCCATTAGTACTTGGTGGAAAAAACTGTATTATTTATAAATGTAGGCTATAAAAGGTATATTGTTTGTTAGGCTTCTGTTACATCGTGGCTTATTTTAATTGAGATGTTTTGCAATCGGACTGCATGAACTCGATTTCTATAACAGGCATTACGGATTTGGGTTGGAGTAAAGGCATCCATGATAAGAATCTGATGGGGTGACGAATATTATGACTCACCCATCTGTAGGCTATACTCTGCACCAGAATCATTTCAAAACTATCCCGTAACGATGCGGCCTGAACATATTAAATCTCTTACAAGGACTAATTAAATATAGCCTGTTCTGTGCATTTAAACACGCTAAATTCAATTTTCCAATTTGTGCCCAGGTTAGATTTTTTTTGTTGTTTTTGCTTTTTTCCGACCTGTATCTAATAGTTAACTTCTTCCATATTTCAGTGCAGATCATTAATTTGTATCGTTTCGATACACTGCTCGCCTTGATGCCTGGAATCAAACGCTTTAGTGGGCGGGGCGTCTCTAAAGCCGGGTCATCAATCCTCTGTTCGCTTTTTGTCCATTACGGATCAATTTTTCACACATAATGAGAAACATCTATAGGCATACAACGCAATTCCCCCGCAGTCTAACGCGTAGCCTATAGCATTTGCAGTTTGAGTTCATTAACGATTTACAGAATACGTTTTTTTTTTTTTTTTTTTGCAAAAAACGCCGCTGTGAATAGAAATTAAACAAAACGCAGACGACAACAAAAACAAGCACATTCCGATACTTAAACTCAGTGCCAGTCGAGCATGACAAACAAGAGAGCAAAGAGTATAAATCCATTTATTTTCCAATCCCTGCCCCAGCCCCTTCACACACAGTGCTCTGATAATCGCTTTACAGTAGATGTCATTCGGGCCTGCCGGGGCCAGAGAAAATTCAGCCGGGTTTGTTGAAGACGGAAACACCCGGGAGCCTGGCTTCCTTATCGGGCCCGGGCAGATATCCGGATAGGAAACAACTGGATGGCCTTTGAACAGCGCTCTGAAAACACTTCAGCCCAAAATGCAAAAGCATGGGCCAGCACACTGACTCCATGGAAAACCCTGTGGCTTTTTTTTTCAGCATGAGAAGAACATAGAGAAACTAACAGCTACAGTATGTTACATCCATACTGCTAAAAATAACAATGATCGTCATAATTGGGAGTTGCAGTTGCAATCCATATTTCAGTTTCTCTTTGAATATGCCACTCTTGTTATTTTTCCTCTAGCTGAGTATGTAAGTGTCTCTTTTACAACACTGGAAATAAGATTCCCTCTGAGACTCTTATATTTACACTCTGATGGTCACTTAGCCAAGTGAAAATTAAATTATTACACATGGCTGATAGAAAATACGCTCTCACTCAATTAAACAGCTTGCTGTGTCTCCAAATGAATCTCTATGATAATATTACGTCACGTTTTGAGAGACTGCAAAAACGACTCAATAACAGTGTAGGTAGAGATATAGAGTTTCATCCGCTAGACGATGTAATAAGATTATGTTTGGGGAAATAATATCCTGCCTGTTTTCTTCAAAAGTCATCTGTTTTCGTGAAATCTTGATGTTGGAAAAACTGTCACCCCTGCCTGGTGATATATGAATTATATTTAAATAAGGAGCCTTCTTATGCCCTGAACCATGGAAAAACAGCAGATTAATAACCAAAGCATAATCGAGTTTGACTTCTCACACATCTCAATGATGTCTCAAACAGCTAAATAATCTTGAACCTTCAATTGTCTCAAAGCAAAAAGCTATTAAGATAAAAAAGAAAATCTGCTTTTGAAAATCTGAGATGATTCTGCTGGCAGCGATTCTAAAATCTTAACAAAACCAATGACATGCGGCTTTCTAAAACAAAAACTGGACCAAACTGCTTGATCTGAACAGATGCGCTCAGGCAATAGTGCAGCAACAGGTTTCTTTCAGTGTGGAGTGGTGATAATTGTCCCGGCGTGGGCATTGGTATCAGTGACAGTATCAGAACTAGAAGCAATAATGATAGCGGGAACAATGGCAATAGTAGCAGTATTGTAACAGGCAGAGTAGGGGATCACCAGGGGGTGAGGGCGACAAACAATTCCAGGAAGATTATAGGGAAAATATAACTTTCCTGGAATTGTGCTCAGGCTTTCTGCTCCGTGCTCCTATTTAGCCCTCTTTCTCACGTGTGTAAGGAACTGAGAGAGCGCTGATCTACTCACCAGTCTGCGCTTGGGCTTGATAAGGGGTCGGTTCTGGCCGTTCATCTTGTGGTACAGGCCGCACGCGTTGCAGAGGTAGTGGCCCGTCCCGTCCCGCCGCCACAGCGGGGTAGAGGTGGCTCCGCAGTTCACACATTCACGCCCCTCTGTGCAGAATTCAAGTGGAGGGAAAGCAAAGGGAAATTTATATAATTAAGAAGTTCACACTCCGTCTACAATACAGGAACACGGGGTCACGGACTGGGCAGAGAAAAACAACTCCCAAGTTAATTAGCCAACATCTAACATGACATTCTCATTGGGATCTCGTATCTGAACTGGATGCGTTACATAACTGATATCGAAATGTATGAATGTACTTTTTTACGCTGCATGACTGTGGAAAATGAATGCATCCAGGTTTTTTCATGTATCTGAACCCAAATATCAGTCTGCTTTTGCATATACAACATTTTCAAGAAGAAGAAGAAGCGGATTACAGTGTGAGTTAACTCCATGTTATATATTCTCACTGCTGTTTATCAGCCAGCTGTCCAGCTTGTCCTATATTCTCAGGTGTCATATCACAGTAAAGCACCCTAACCTGCTGGAAAGGGCCCTGCGCTTTAATTCCTCCTCACTCCCCTGAGCACCTCTCTATTATTCACATTATAATGTGAGATAGTCGCTGTCCCACCCTGACCAGAGAAAAGAATACGCCCGGACAATGGACGCTCTTTTGAAGTCTATGTGATGTTGTAATTCAGTCATTTTCAGAAGTTTCACTTGCATTTTGAATGTACTGAAACTTGGTGCTGGGAGTGTTAAGGGAAAACGAATAGACGAAAATAGCAAATAGTAGAGGTTAACCTAAATCAGAGGTGTAGCCTATATTATTAAATTTAAACAAAAAACTATATGTTTTTTGTCTTTTTCTGAATTTTAAAACAAAAAAATTGGCTTTATTTTTTTCTTTCAATGCCCAATCATATTTGTAGGATTAATTTAACATAAAAGTATTACCATGCAGTTCAAAAATTGGTTCCATTCACCAGTGCATTTTCTTCTTTCATAGGTTGGCTATCACTGAGTTTTTTTTGTTTTTTTTTTGAGTATATCCATTATTCATTCATTTATTAAGCATCTTGTACATATTGTTATTTAGATTTAAATGTAATATCCAATTATAATCGCATGTAAAATTCGTCATATAATGAAATAGTTCAAATGAATGTTATTTGATAGCAGTGCATCGGACCGACGTCGTGCATAAACAAGCACACAAACAGCAGGGTCCTGTCGCCTGTGAAGGCCTGTCCCGCCGGGGTTTTGTTAGTATTGGGGTCGTAGGAGGGCGGAGGGGGGGAGTATGTCGTGATTTGTTCAAGTGAAGGTATACAGGATATGACTGGAGCCAGCGCGTCGTGACTCCTCAACGTTTTAAGGAAAACAAAGCGTGAGGCAACACGCAGCCCGCCAAATAAAATCATCCATCTTAAGACCTAACACGCAGGAAAAAAAATCGAATCTGCATGGAATAAATAGATAGAAGTTTGTGTGTCATTTAATATGCTAATTAATGTCAAAAGGTCTGCAAACTCACAAAAAAGCGCCGTTTTCATATTGTATTTTATCAAGCCGTTTTCAATTCAGCTCCACTGGTATTGATATGATCTTAATCTTTTTTTTTTTTTGGCTGGGTCCCTTGCACTCTAAAATGTTTTATCACAATGTTAGAGGCCTACACTTTTGTTTAAAACTTTATAATTTATCTAAAAATTTCTTCACCATTATGTAAATTCAGTGTGTTCGAAAAATGCAATATAGCCTACAGGTCGCCTCTTTAAATTTATTTAAAAATGTAAAAGGCTATAGCCTACGCAAAAATAGCCCATCGACTAAACTTCACTAAACAGCTGGATTGGGTTTGTAGTTTATGTATGATAACCACTATCTTTATTGGAAATTCCACCTTCGAGTGGTGATGCATTTTGATGAATCATTTTTAAGAGCTGCTGAAACTTATGGCGTGTCATAATTTAAAAACTGTGGTGTGTTGCCTCGAGGGAGATTCTTAAAATGGCGGCCGAACTCATTTAATTAGACAAAAACAAAATAAGTAAACTCCAAATTAGATTAAAACGTTGTGTCCAAGAAAATAAAATAAAATTGAAATATCTAGGCCAGTAAACCACTGGGGATTCATTTGTAGGCTATAGCCAATGGCTAAATTAAATTATTTTCAAATAGCCTGTCACAAAAAAAAAAAAATCCTACACATAGGCCTATGATATTTACATAGGCCATAGATTTAGTAAATGTAACATTTTTAATAACTGATGTAAAAATGCTTTGTAAAAAATGTTATCCAACCCAATGGAAATGTATATTCTTCACTTCATGATCGAGTCGGAGAGCTCTAAAGAAACTCACCTGAGCACGATCTCGTCTTGCTTTTACATTTAGGTGTGAAGCCCGAAGCGGATCCACTCAGGAGGGTACCAGGATGGAACAGCCCGCCGCCGTACTCGTGTGGAGTGGGCAGGGAGTACGTTGGGTAGGTCGGGATGGGATGATGCGTGGAGGGTGTTTGGGCGCTCATTGCCAGGCTTCCCCGAAGAGGACTACATCCCTCCATTTTCATCCCATCAGCGATGACTTGGTACTTTATGGAGTCCTTTTCGTCCATTCTTGCAGTGGTGGAGGTCGGAGAAGAAGGACCGGGGTCCGGTGAGACGTCTTTCGGTGGGGTTGGGGGGAAATTGTAAAGGGGATGTGGACTGGAGTGTGTTGCGGATGTGAGGGAGGAGACGGGAGCGGTGCTGGAGCTACTGCTGCACGGGTAGCCGGCGCTGGCGGGGTGCAGGCCGGGCTTGCTGAAGTGACTGACCGCCCAGGCGTTGTGGTGCGCGGCGGAGAGCGCTGCCTTCCCGCTGTCCAGCCAGGGGATCCCGGGACTGTGTATGAGGTGTGGCCGACAGACCTGACTTCCCGTGAGACGAGCTGAGAAATACAAGACAGAAACGAACATAAAAGCCCAATTCGAAACGAAAATTACGAGCGAGATGTCTAAATCTGTACAGTTTTTGCCGAAACGCCAGTTTGTTTTTCAAACAACAAAATGACTAATGTTCAGCCTCACCTGTTGACTCCGTAGGCTACTCAAACAATACAAACTTGACATTGAGATAAAATAAAATTATGAAATATCAATAATGCACAAAACCGCATTTGCCGATTCACCCTTTAGTCCAGTGTTTGCTCGCTAACACTTAAAATATGTTTTCGTCGTCTCGACATGATTTTCAAAATAAAAACGCACTTACTCCAAAGAAACAGACGGACAATCTCCTTACAAAAGCGACACACGACACCTTTTTTAACAAAGCATTCTCATTACAGACTGTTCGTCGCACAAATTAGTCACTTGAACTAAGAAGTTCATCAGGAATTTTTCGTTTTGATTTGGCATCCGGGAAGTGCCTTGATCCCCCTCTCTCTCTCCCTGACACGAACTTCCCTTTCCTCATCAAGTCATTCGCTGGACATTTTCTTTTTCTTCTTATCTTTACATTTCAACACGCTCCTCTTGGAGATGACAGTTCGCACCGCAGAGAAGAAATCCGATATCTTTCATTTTAAACGCATTTTTTGTCATCCTTTTGCTCGGCTAATTGTTGTCTGCCAGGCATATGCATACGTTTTTTTTTTCTTCAGAACAACAGAAAATAATTAAATACATAAATAATAAACATTAAGCCTACATTAACATATTTTAGAAGCCTCGAGACATCGAGCCCATGGGACAGTCCCGCATTTAGGCCGTAGGATTCACCTCAAAGTGAGTAGGGCCTAAATACCTAAATCTTTCGGTTTTACACTGTCTACTACACGCACAACCCAGTTGTATTAAAGTAACACCATAGTGGCCTATAATTGACACAAAATGGGCATAAATGGTGTCGACAAGGTCACGTTTGTTTACTAAACCTTCTTTAAGCACAAGACGATCAAAAAACATAAACAACTGTTCTCCTTCGCCATGAATAGCAATATTTTACATCGAACTGTTCATAACATATTCAAGTATAAATAATTATTAAGATTCAAGCAGCTTTATAAATTAATTCACATTGCATATATTTTATTTTCATTCGTGATTAATGTAGCCAACAGTGTGACAACTATTTATCGGAAATTACATAATGAAATATGTACAAGATAACCTTTACACATTTTGTCATTCAAATATTAAAAAAGTAGCCTATACTTCACTCGAGATAAATCTGACATAAAGAGCAATCATACCGTGCGCTTGTCCGTATGATACTCTGGCCCGAGAATTGGAGTAGTAGGGGTTCCCCTGCGAGTCCAAGTGATTTAAGAACACATCCACCTCGTCCGGGGGAAGAAGAGGGGCCATGGGCTCCATGTAATTGTGTGTAAGCCCGTGATGATGTGACTCTGGGTGCTGGCCGTTGAGTACCGCATGATGATGGGCCATCCATCGAGACTGATCGGCCGCAACCTCCATGTCTGAAGTGTCCGTGCTTAGAAAACGTTAAAAAGAAGTTTTCTAGATGCCTATTGAACACCTTTTGTACACTTAGAGACCCGGGTCCTTTAAATGATTACAATATTTGGCGTTCTGCTTCAGTTGGTGATGCAATGCACTTATTTTTGGAGAAGAGGTCCTGCTTCTTTGCCTTCAAGAATGATCAGGAACACCTGTAAGAGAACAAATAGATGCATCTCAATTTTAACGTTAAATATATTGCAAGACGGAGAATCTTCACTTTATCGAAACACGCTATTGCAACTTAAAATAAGTCGCTTCATTACAAGCTCAACTGCGCAATTTTAAAGATCAATCGGTAAAGCGCAAGTACTTACGGCGCGAAGTAGCATTTCAGCACTACAATCCTCAGTTTCTTTTTTCCCCCGTGTTAGTCCTTTACAAAGAATGTTAATCCTCAAGATATCTGTTGACATTCGTAATTCGCCACTGGTTTAAATTGTCCACAGCCCAATCGTTAAACTCTCTAAAACTCTGCGTCTTTGTGAAGCGGAGAGAAGTCTCGTTAATGAATTGTGCCTGTGTACTGTCGGAACTGGCGCCAGTAGATTCCATATCTTACGAACATGGGCGGGGTCACGGGCTGGCAGGGATCGCTCTGTTAACCAATAGCAGATCGCGCTGACTGTCATTGGCTCGAACATCATGCTTTCCAAACTGCCACGGCGACTATCGGCCTAGTGCTCCACATTCAGAGAGCTGAGAGACTCATCATTCAGCGTAGCAATTTATTCAGATCTTTTTACCTTTCTTAGAGCTTCAAGATGATGATGTAATAATGTTGTCTTTTTAGCCTACTCAAAGACGAACAGAATGACCTGAAATTAAGAGAGCTGAAGTCTTGTACACGGACTGCATTTTTTTTCATTCGAATAATAATATTACATTGCTTAGACTACTTTTGTTTAAGCAAAAATTAATGAATAGTGCATGCAATTAGGCTACTTTTTTGGCTATTGATAAACAAAATGATTTATTACAGTTATCATGAACTTTTGTTTAAGAACTTAATACTGTGATTAAGACCTGTTGTCTGACCATTACCATTTTAACATTGCTTAAAACAACAAAACCTGTAACAGTGAAGTGTCACATGCGGTATGCCTAATGCAAACAAACACGATTGTTAGCACCTCGGGCATTAATTGGGGAGGAGTATTTTATGGTCCTTAAATTCGAGGCTATTGTTCTTGCGCGTCTAATTGTTTTAAATTAGTTCTCACCGCATTCTTCTTGTGAAAACAGTCTTTGTATGCCGTTTTCGAGCGATCAAACGTTACTTTACATATTAATAGCGGGTCCGTGTCTCCTTGGTGCCGACAGGTCGCATGGGCAGGTCCAAATTGAGCCAACTGGTGGCCATTAGGGCAGCTTCGTTGATTCTTACTTACAATTATCTCATGGCAAAACAAGCATCTCAGGCTCACCCACCGCAGGCAGGAAGACAGAACGACGCCAATTAGCTTGATAAGCGTTTAGATAAACTGTGGATACAGGTTAGTCAACTCAAGACCTCATTGTGCTCATAGGGTTTAATACACTGTTAAAATGTGTCTATCCAGTCAAAAACGATCCAGTCAAATGCGTTTTAAATTCGTTTAAGTAAATTAGCATTCCATGCAGTGGAAACTCCAATTCAAATAATCTAATATAAATAAATACTCTTTGCTTTAACGTTGAAAATACAGTGGATATAGCAGCGTGCTCCTTTAGATATCTGCTTCTATGGCCTCTAACTGCTTGTATAACGCTTTGTGTATATTAATTATTTAACTTGTCTGGTTGGATCAATCAAAGATAACACAAGATAAACTTGACTATCACTACCAGGGCGCTCCGGCTCGTTTTTCATTTATCGAGAAAGACACTGTTGTGGTAATTCTGTTTTCTTGATGGAGTTACAGATCATGTCTAGCCAAGAACCGGTTTAAAAAAATGGGAAATTGAGTTTTAACTGATTATATAGGCTACATTTTTATCCTATAAATAATGGTGGGACGTCCCTCTGACAATAGGGCTATTTATTTTTATTATTATTTAAAGCAGGAATTTTAGTCTGAAGATTGAAAGGCAATAATTGAAGCGCGAGCTCAGAGCCCCTATCGGCCGCCACTCTGACGCCACGACTTGATGTCACAGTAGCCTATCTCGGGAAAGAAGAAAAAGATCTGCAAAGACTTTTCCACAGCTATCTACAGCTACAGTGTGTATACACTGAGTATTAATGTCTAGAATAGGCATAGTGTGTTTTCATCGAATCAGTTTTTTGTTTTGTTTTTTTGGTATAGAGTTTTGGTCTGGCTGAAGAGCGAATAATCAATTTGGACAATAATATTGAGCACTTAAACCACAGAGCTTCTGTCAACGTTGGATGTATAAAGATGCTCAAACAGGCTATTTGGCCTTATTGTGTGACAATATCAGATGTTAAATCCCTCTTTAACGGACTGGATTCCTGCCAGGGGCCCTACACAACACAAAGAGCCCAGCCTGAAGCCAAAACATTAGAATATGCAATAAAATATGACGCTTGGTTTTGCTGTGTAATGATGCATTTTATACACATTACATCAAAAGTTGCAACAGATTATACAGATATAAATGGAAGCTGATATAAACCTTTAAATATAGGCTACGCGTATATACAGTGGTCTTTCACATTTGGCGTATAGCTTTATGTGAAACGCAACACGACGTCTTTAATAGGCTTTTTCAGAAATATTTACACTATTTTTTATTTATTTATTTATTTATTGTAAAAAGCAGTGGTATATAAAAGCCGAACTTTAATATTCCTATTCAGTATCTGAAAAACAAATATTGACATTTTTCATTATTTATTTGTTATGTTGTAATTTCGGTGTAAATTCATTTCCTACCGCTGTGTGCATTAAACCATTTAAATGTATATTTTAGTGGTATGCCACCTTACATGCAGCTTCAGTGTCGCATTTGTGGTGTAACTGTGGCAATGCATGTTTATTATTGAATTAGACGAGTGTGTGTGTGCGTGCGTGCGCTACTGCTAGTTTTTGCCTAATCTCGGTTCAGCTCACCTAAGGCCAAATATTCTTTAGAGAATACCTGAACTAAATACCTGTGGTAATCCATGTGCTCTCAACGTTACAACAAAAGAGATTGTCCTTTTAGGCACTTAACATTTAAAGTCGGGGGTGTTACTAAAGAGACTGACCCGATTGAGGACTCTAACTCAGTGGGCCACTCTTCTTTAAATGCGTGTGAAGATTCAGACTTTATTTCTTATGTAACACAAGTTGTGTCGTCTAACACGTGAGACTGTGACGACGGCAATGACAGCATGTTTGTGTGATGTCACATTATATTTCGCTTTAAATTAAGTGCATCAAAAAATAATGGAGAGCGCGTTGGAAACAAGCTCCGCGAAAATGGAGGCAATCATTCCCTTAATTAACAGGTGCCGTGAAATGGCTTTGGCCGTTCGTTCCCTCACCGCGCATTTATCATTCTTCGTGGGGTTAAAGGAGGGCAGGAGGGGGCAGAGAGCGGCGCAGAAGGGTTTGTGAAGATAAGCAGGCACTGGGATATAGGGGGAATGACACAGACCAGCTGAAGCGGTATTGTCCTTTACTCACGGGTAATTAGATTGTGACAGGGCACTCGGGGGCAGACACAAGCACAGGCAAAGTCACAAGCCTCCTGTCCTCTGCTGAAGCATGAATAACAGGGTTTGAAAGCAAAGCGTCTCACACTCTTTTTATTTCAAACAACAATCCGCATTATTTTGAGGCGAAGTCTCACATGTTTGCGTTCTCAGTATTAAACGAGCCTTCCTGCGTTAATTCTAACGCACATGCTTTATAATGGGTAAAGTTCTTCTTCTGGGTGATGGCATTTGTTCAGTCAGAAAATGATCCCGTGGCGGTCATAAATCTGATGGGTGATGACAGCGCGCCCGCCCTTCTTTTGTGCTTGACAGCTCTTGGAGTCAATGATTTAAATAAACAGCACAGGTGGGCTAATGCAGGCGTCCTTGGGGCATTCCTGAGAAAGCTAATTCCTCAACTCACCCACGCCACATTCGCTTTCACATTTATAATCATTCAAATTCCCATTTTAAAACGTTGGCGGAAAATGATTTTCGTAACGTGTGCGGTTCTTGGTTTGTTAAAATTGTATCAACACACAAGCATGCATTTCAACATGAATGTCTTAAATGTGCATAATTTCATGCATTGTTTCAATGCATTGTAAAATGCATTTTGGTCTGTTTAATTTGGATTTTATTTTAACATGTTTACAAAGAGAAAGGCATAGAATGTCCCTTTTAATGAATGTAAAATAAGCAATACTGTTTTAAATAGTATAATATTATATTCACATCGCTATACGAAAAACGTAACACTCTTGAAATGCCTGCAGATAACGGATTTAGAAACACAATTATTATAATTTCTTATATATTATTTCTATTCAGCCATACAAATGCATAATTTTATCTTTTGCTTTGTTGTATTATAAACCATTATGAACTGCTATGAAATTAAAAAAAACTCTTGATTTTTTTTTTTTAGATGGAATTAATAGGCTACATAATAAACCTATTTTGGACTAACAGTTCTCTTTACCTCACTAAAACGCGTGAATAATCTCTGCGTATTACTCGACTTCACGCTCGCTGTGTCGAATGATATAGTCTACGCAAAACGCATCTTACCAGTGTTTACGATTAGGCACTCTTCTCTTGACATTTAGCATAGAAATGTGTCCTGGGGCCAATTCCGTGTGGCACCGTCTTTGAGGGAAGAGTATCGGTGATTCGTTGCGCTTTGCGAAGCGCTGAAGCTCCGGGCACAGTCTTCTCTATAGCTGGCGATGCCAACCTTCCCTGACAGGCGAGCGTCGGTCCAGGATTCGTTCGCTGAGGATCTTTCTTCAGTGACTTACGGCGTGGTGTAGTGTCTGACACATCGTATTCTCTCTCTCTTTCTCTCTCTCGCTCTCTCTCTGACTGGAAACAGCGAAACTTGAGGCACAAAGTGGGGCTGCTGCAACGTAGCCGTGCGTCAGCCAATCTGGTCTTCCGGGTCGTGCTTTGATGGTTAAAAGCTGTGCTGAAGATGTTATGTGTTGTTCTCTCTCGTGTAATTATGAAACAAGACCCAGTTGCACCTACTGTCACTCTTACTAGGTTTGGGATGTGCTACTATATTCTCACTTTTTCTTTCTTTTTTTCGATTGAGTAGATAAGATAATTTAGGATAGGCATAACAATCATGATTTGTTTCTTTTGTCAAATTAGTGCGGTTCAACACAACATTTAGATTTTCTGTAGATTAAACCAATCTCCTTCATTGTAACTATCAACTAATTTTTTTTATTTCAATGAACTTAAAATGTCAAGATAACCTTACTTTTTTTAAGTTAAACCAACAAAATATTTTTTAATGCATTGCTATTAAGACTTCTACAAGTTTTTAACAGTTGAAGCTCTTTTTCTTATAATTATTCCTGCAGGAATAGCCAACATAGAGAGTATGGTGGACCGATATAGCATGATTTATGCCCATTAATAATGGCCCTTCTCATTTGATCACTGCGATGCTGCAGATGTGTTTGCGTGAGTGTTGTGAATATGTAAATCTTTACTTATAATATGAGACGCCTTTAGGCTTCCCATCTTAATGAATTCTATTCCTTCTTGATCTTGTCTATATGTTGCGACGAAGCGGTCGACCTTGCCTCCCCCCCAACTCAGCCAGTTTTAACTCTCTCACACATAACACCAACTTTTAAAACATGCAAAGCCTCGGTAAATCTCTGGCTCGAGACCCCGTGCTCGCGTGCATCGGCTCATGCAGGGCAGGTGCAGCTCGCGCCCGGCTTCCCCCAAGAGTGCACGAGCACAATGAGAGCGCGAGAGGAGTGAACTCTGACAGAATTAATTGCATTATATAGAATGATCAAAATAACAATGTCCATTGCCAGCTATTGTTTTGTTTTCATTCAAAAGACCACGAACGGTGACGGATTCAAGTCAGTCAAAATCAGAGGCTACTCCGGTTGGTCGCTGCTATCATGTTGAAGAAGCAGGCCTATAGGATTAGCCTATGATAAAAATCAAAATTCTTTGGTTGTCCCAATTGTCTTGCACTTATCAATAAGGATAGAATAACAGATTAAAAGAAAGACAAGTATTTGACTACTCAGAGTTTCCTGTAAGTGCAACGGTCAAGAATAGCCTAATCGTTTTGTATTGTGTTTATCAGTTTCTTTTTGAGTGCTTCGGTTATCAGTTTTGTCATGACAGGACTTGGCATGTGTTTTCGTGCTCAACTTAATCATATCTTATTACAAGTAGCCTATGCTGACAAGCGAATATCCCTCAGACTTAAAAAAAAAAAAAAAAAAAAAAATTAGTTGCTGCAGCGAATCGCGAATCACGTAATTTTGGAGGACACATCTATAGATGTTCTGGTAATTTAGGAGGTTTGCACCACATGAGAGTTTTTTACGTTGAGACAAACTAACCTTGATTGCCCCATGAGATGTAAATTATTTAGGCTATCAAAAGTTAAAGGACTAAAAGGACGATGAAGAAATGAACGATGCCGATTTGAAGCTCCCGGTCATTTTAACTTAAAACGAAGAAAAATATCTTGAAAATAGTAACTTAAAACAGAAGAAAAAATGTTAAAAAATAGTAAAAGTTTTTTTAACATGATATTTTTTTATTAGCCTCTTTGTGTTGTTGTTATTTAGCCTAGCCTATTGTTATAAAACAAACCAAAAAATAACACAGCCGCGTTGATTGTAAATAACTAAATGGATTTGTGATGGTTCTTATGAATGCATGTATTCTGGTAAAGCGTTAAGAGCAGTAGTGCTGGGCTTACAGGAGCTTTGCGATCTGAGCAGAGGAAGATGCTCACTCATGATGCGCGCGAGATAAGCGCTTATCAGTCTCGAGCTTGCATCTCCAGCGCATTAAAAAACCCTACTTTAGACTAATAAAGGCGACTGCTAAGCTCGCCTGCACCCTTCCAGCAGTGCACACTGTGGCAGACACGGTGACATTTCCATTTCACGTTGTCCATCAAAGGCGCAGCAGAGCGCGTGCACGTCTCCGAGTCTTGCCATGCGTCAAAGTAAAGAGTGCGCGTGAATCAGACTCATTTATCCCGAAAAAAACACTTTACAAGTTCTCATGCCTTTTTAGCCATGCTAAATAGTGAAAAACAAAATCGTCAATTATTATAAGATAATGCATTGAGTTTTCTTGAAGTCTTAGCCTATACATTATTATTACATGCCTGAAGAGTTCAGATGCAAAAGCCTCTAAGTGCCATTTGAAATTTTCTTCTAAAATGATCATTTTTATCAAGCTTGTATATTTAAGTTCAGTAATTTCACTTAAATGACAATGAAGATTACCTATTAATTGTCATTTAAGTGAAATTACTGAACTTAAATACACAAGCTTGATAAAAATGGTCATTCTAGAACAAAATTTCAAAGGGCACTTAGAGGCTTTTGCATCTGAACTCTTCATATATATATATTATGGTTTGTTTGTATTTTTTAATAGACTTTCCAATTTTGATATATAATTCTCATCATTTTATTGCTTTTTTTAAAAAAGGGTTCTAAAGTTATTATTTATATATGCATGCATCAGATGCCAGGGCCCTCTCCTTCCGATTATTACCGGGGGTAATATTTCATCGGCGTGAGGCAATCTTTGTTCTTTGTGAAGATAATAAATGGCCTAATCGTTATCAGCTTACCGCTGGAGGTGTCAGGACCGAGCGAGGCTGGAAACAGGGTCCAAAGTGGCGCTGAATAAATTGGTGTTTCTTATCTCTCTCCCCCAGATTATCGCCGTCTTTTCAAACCGCCACAACAAATACATTCAATGCATCTAATGCATCATTTGAGGGGGGAGATCGCAGGGGTGATAGAGACAGATAGGCTACCCGAAGGAGAAATATTTACACATTTAACGTGTTCGGGCCAATATTAGCTGGGGTTTTGAGCGAGTTTATTGGACGGGCAGAGAGGTACACACGCTTAACATATCAATGCAGCCATTATCATATATTGTAGCGCTACTGTTGATAGGTATCTGCGTGATTATTCTGTCTTGTCATTAGATCTGTTACGTGTTGAATTAGTTGTGAAATTAGCTCGTTTCATCCAAACACTTGTTTTGCCTTCTTTATCCAGTGGGTATCAGCAGTATCGTTATCGTATACCTACCTTTTCAGCACGTCTTTCTTATGGGAAATAAAATCAATAGGCCTAGTCCTATAAATTAATTGCAAGCCAGACAGCTGAAAACACTTGGCAATGGGCATAGCGCTTTGCAGCGCTATAAATTAGCCTACTAATTACAAAAACAAAACAAAACAAAACAAACAATAAGAGGCGGTTTCTTATTGTTAGATTTATACGAACAATAATTGCATATAATTAGTTAAATAAGATAAAAAATAGCAACTTTTGCCCTTTAAAATTCTAGGCCTAGTCCGTTAGTGAGAAATCATTTTAGTTTTATCGAAATAATTCTCATCAGTATCTTCAGTTACTCCGGCTAGAGTTACTATAACTGTTAGTGTTTTGTAGCCTAATTGAATATCAGCCCGTCCATTAGGCTTTAAAACAGCATGTGATCTCGTTTCAGCACTAATGAACGCCTACAAGTTAATGCCATTAAAAACGTGTGTCCTGAAAGTGGAGACGTCATAATGAATCAGAAGGATTTTAAAATCACCCGTTCGAATTCATTTTTAATTTCTCCGCGGTGAACTAGACTCTAAAACACCGCCACTGCTGCCCTTAAATTATAAATTACAAAATAAATAAATTCAAAGTGGTGCCAAAGTGAATTTAAATGATTTTCTAATGATGCACTCTAAAAAATGCTGGGTTGTTTTAACCCAATTTTGGGTAAAATATGGACAAACCCAGCCATTGGGTAAAAAATGTAATTCAAAAATGTAACCCAATGGCTGGGTTTGTCCATATTTTACCCAAAATTGGGTTAAAACAACCCAGCATTTTTTAGAGTGTGAAAACACTCTGAAAACACATGCAGCATTGTTATATTAATGAAAAAATAACGTCTTGTTAAGTTAGAATGGACATATTGTTGTTTTAATTATGAAAGCATGTTTTAGCCTTTACACATTTAAAAAAAAGTTATTTTAATATGAAAGGTTATTTCTTAAATGCCGTTATTATTATGCTATTATTATTAGTAGGCTATATTAAATAAAAAAAAAAATTGTGTTTTTTAACACAAAAAATTGTGTTAAAAAAATTAATGCGAACACGGAATTGATTATTTCTAGTTTGGAGAAGATGCTAGACTCTACCCAGATCATCACTGAGCCCCGGTTTTCTGACAGGCCCTTTCTGCCCACAAAAATGGACTTCTATGTTTAACCGTGCACGAAGTGAGTTTTGTTATTTTAGAGAAAAGAGACAGGTTTCCATTTACAATCGAGAGGAGGACGTTGTGCGTGTGAGTGACACTTTATGACAAAAAGCGCTTTTTTCCAATATATACAAACTCCCCTTTTAATAAGGCGGCATCTTCACCGGGCGCGCGCTCGCTGATGGTCTCCACGGCAACTCAGATAACGGAGCTGCAGTTTTCCATATCTGCACCAGAGTCTATTATACCCCAGGATTAGCTCGTTTTCCGAAAAGGTCAAACACAAAGTCATGTAACCTGGTATTTTCACCCTTCCTGCGAGTCCCTGCATTCATTCGCATAACATTCGCCCCTCTGTCATTTCATTTAGCTAATTTCATCAGGTAATGGCTTTTTTCTGAGTTATGTGAGAACTGAAAAAAAAACTGTCTACAACATCACCCGTTTTGTGTTGGAAAAATACAAAGTAGCTCGCAATGAACGGAATGACTGATAATAGGCGTTTTTCTTTGTGATATAGTGACCTCTAGTGATCAGAGCGCGTTGCAGTCAGTTCCCACACACCCTCAATGGTTTTGACACCAGATGGACAGTATGCGAATATTGGGTTCTAAATTATTAGCCTTGAATGTTAAAAAGTTTGAGGTATTCTCATGT